TAATAAACTGTTTCAGAGGAGTGATCATAGCGCTCTGCATCAGCAGTGCTGCGTCTGACTCCCTGCCAGCTCCCAGATCAGCTTCTCTGATTGGTCGATGCGGCGCATCCAGCAGCTAAAGTTACATTTTTCTGCTGCTTGTGAAACGCCTCAGATGCTCAGAGGCGCTGCAGGACCTGTCGATGTACGTCAACCGTAGACTTTACATGTAAAGCGGCTTCTTCTTCTTAAATTGCGGTGTGAACGTAGCATAAAGCAAACAGAGCTGTTATCAGATCTGCAAAGATCCACGTTGCAGAATCAGATCAGAACTGAATCACAGAGAATCGTCTCTCAGATGGAGCCGTTTCCTTTCACCTGCGGGGGGGTTCAGCGTGCAGACTAGCTGCCTGCTGGGCATGTTGGAACTTAGAGATGACTGACAGTAATAATTATGCTGATTGTTTGTTTAAAGCCTCTGCAGCTCAAAACGAACAGATTCCCATCCTGAGGTTTAGTCTTATTTACTGAGCTAATATTGCGTGTAATGATCGTTTTGCAGCGACGATGATGATGATGATGTTTATTTTCCCAGGAGGACTAAGGAGCGCGGCTCGTGGAGGTCTGGTTGGTTTAGCTGCATCTGGTGCCTACGCCCTTTACAACAACTGGGAGCATCTCACCGGCTCCTCCTCGCCCTCCTCCGCCCGGCTCTACTGACCCTGACCGCCATCTTCACCGTTCGGACGCAGCATTTTATCACAGGCGGTTAAATTCTGTTCTTTTCCCACCTCAGTCCATCGCCTCCGAGCATTCTGGGAATTAGGACAGAAAAGTGAATTCCTCTGTTAGCCTGTTTTTTTCTCATCAGTGAGGATGTATGGAATCCTGACTCCTATTTTTATTGATCGTGACTCATCAGTCTGCAGTGAGAAAGCGTCACGACATTTAGCTTAAAGATCAGACTCACAGGGCAGCACCTGGCGTGCCGTCAGGATGAGGCGTTTCTGACCAAAAGACTTTCACCACCTTTAAACACGCAGCGAATCCTGACCGTCTGATCAGTTATATTTATTAAAACAATTAACTGTTCCTGGTTTCAGTCTCTGAACTGGAACTGCTTCCTGCTCATGTTTCTCCACAAAATCTGCAGTTTGAGAAACTGAAATAAAACGAAAAAAGATGGAAATGTTGTCGATTATTCAGTGTTTGATCTCCTTTATTGCAGAAGGTAACTTATAAAGGCCTGCAGACTATATACAGGGTCAGAGTTTATTTACATTGTTAAATGTTTGATTTGTGGAATAAAAACGATCTGAAGTTTAAAGGAGCAGAGCTCGTCAGTGCAGGAAGAAGTCCCTGATGCGGGTCGCCTCGATCCACGGGATGTAGGCGGCGGTGCGGGTGAAAACGCTCGGCTTGTTCTCCACGGTGCAGCCGATGGGCCCGAAGCTCACCACGCCGTGCACTTCCCAGCGATCACGGCCCAGCTGGCACAGCAGAGGGCCGCCGGAGTCGCCCTGAGGACGGAAGAGGAGTGATGAGACGACGTCTGACCTACAGAAAGATCCTCTGTCCGCCGGGCGTTACCTGACAGGCTGCAGGCGGGTCCTCGGTGTCCCTGAACCCGGCACAGATCATGGAGTCCCGGACACGGTCGCCCCAGAACTTCTTCTGCCGGCAGGTTTTGAAGTCGATGATGGGAAGACGGGCCTGATTCAGAGCTTCTGCCAGCGAGACGTTCTCCTTCCCCCCTGAAATGATCGCAGACAGAAAATAAAGGCCGCACCTTCAGCTGCTTCGAATACTGGACAATCTTCCAGCAGACTGTGAAGGCCCAACAGTCTGGAGGGAGAACAAACGGCTGTTTGCAGAGTAGCGGGTTAAATGTGGGACGGAAATTTGTCCAAAACCAGCCAAAAAAATAAAATGATGTGGAAGAGAAAAGGAGAGTTAATTTTCATGTTTTCTTAACATTTATTGACCACTGTAGCGAGGATTTAGACATGCCTGGAAGGCGGCCATCTTGGATCAGACCACAGTTCAGACGGCTGCTGTCAGAATGAACAGGAGGCGCCTTAGATCTGATTTTAATCACAGACGAATCAAAGATAACATTACAATAACTCCTTACATTTCTTAACCCTTTAAAGATCAAAACTAATTTAAAATGACCTTTCAGTCAGATTACACAGATTTATTCAGATTTAAAACTATTTAAACTGAACTCAAACTGGATGAAATATAAACATGCAGTTATATAGTTTTTAAATTAAATATGAATGATAAACAAGTTTAAATTTATATAACAAATATATTTTTATATATCTTATTCAGTATTTTTAAGGATTGATCTTTGATAATGACTTATGATATATAGAGGAAATGTGGTTGTAATACGATTTAAAAGTAAATATATATTCCTATATATGTAGGTGTATATATACATATGTATATATACATATGTATATATATGTACGGTATATAATTATGTTCATGCATGTCTTTTTATATATATATATATAATATATATATATATTATATATATATATATAAAGACACATATATGCATGAACATAATTATACATGTGTATATATACACGTATATGTGTGTGTATATACACACATGTAAACACCCGAAGCTATCCTGCTGGACCCAAGCAGATTTATGTTCAAAGGGATTGTAATGCCTAGCCTTTACACACAAACATAGCTATATATAAAATATATATTTATATACTTATCTATACACTCACCGGCCACTTTATTAGGTACACCTGTCCAACTGCTCGTTAACACTTAATTTCTAAGCAGCCAATCACATGGCGGCAACTCAGTGCATTTAGGCATGTAGACATGGTCAAGACAATCTCCTGCAGTTCAAAGCGAGCATCAGTATGGGGAAGAAAGGTGATTTGAGTGACTTTGAACGTGGCATGATTGTTGGTGCCAGAAGGGCTGGTCTGAGTATTTCAGAAACTGCTGATCTACTGGGATTTTCACGCACAACCATCTCTAGGGTTTACAGAGAATGGTCCGAAAAAGAAAAAACATCCAGTGAGCGGCAGTTCTGTGGGCGGAAATGCCTTGTTGATGCCAGAGGTCAGAGGAGAATGGCCAGACTGGTTGGAGCTGATAGAAGGGCAACAGTGACTCAAATAACCACCCGTTACAACCAAGGTGGGCAGAAGAGCATCTCTGAACGCACAGTACGTGGAACTTTGAGGCAGATGGGCTACAGCAGCAGAAGACCACACCGGGTGCCACTCCTTTCAGCTAAGAACAGGAAACTGAGGCTACAATTTGCACAAGCTCATGGAAATTGGACAATAGAAGATTGGAAAAACGTTGCCTGGTCTGATGAGTCTCGATTTCTGCTGCGACATTCGGATGGTAGGGTCAGAATTTGGCGTCTACAACATGAAAGCATGGATCCATCCTGCCTTGTATCGACGGTTCAGGCTGGTGGTGGTGGTGTCATGGTGTGGGGAATATTTTCTTGGCACTCTTTGGGCCCCTTGGTACCAATTGAGCATCGTTGCAACGCCACAGCCTACCTGAGTATTGTTGCTGACCATGTCCATCCCTTTATGACCACAATGTACCCAACTTCTGATGGCTACTTTCAGCAGGATAATGCGCCATGTCATAAAGCTGGAATCATCTCAGACTGGTTTCTTGAACATGACAATGAGTTCACTGTACTCAAATGGCCTCCACAGTCACCAGATCTCAATCCAATAGAGCATCTTTGGGATGTGGTGGAACGGGAGATTCGCATCATGGATGTGCAGCCGACAAATCTGCGGCAACTGTGTGATGCCATCATGTCAATATGGACCAAACTCCCTGAGGAATGCTTCCAGCACCTTGTTGAATCTATGCCACCAAGAATTGAGGCAGTTCTGAAGGCAAAAGGGGGTCCAACCCGTTACTAGCATGGGGTACCTAATAAAGTGGCCGGTGAGTGTATATCTCCTCATTCACAACTTTTAGAAATCAGGGCATTTTTAGCTCTTCTCAGCTTCATCCCTGCTACTCATCTTGTTTAAACACCAGAAAAACCAGAACTGTGAAACATGAGGATAATCTGTCATAAAATTCTACTAATGAAATAATCTCACTGGATCTGGTTTGTAGTCTCCTTTTATATTTTCACCCTTAGCAGGAATAAAAGTCGGGCATCCTGAGGTTTAGCTCTGGAAGTTTGCTAACTGTCGATACTATAAAATCGAATTAATGTATCAAAACAGAAAATCAGATTGATCAGTTGGCCCCATTTCTGGTTTTCAGCCAGCCAGTTTATCTGGAAATCAGTTAAGAGTTCATTGGATTCAGAGCGTCTAACGCCATAAAGTAGGGTTAGCATCCATTGACGGGTGTTCTTTCTGACAGCAGCTTGGTCTGACCCAAGATGGCCACTCTGTCAGAACGCCTCTCAAACCACGTTATTGGTTTCTCGACTTTCTAAACATATTTAAGTACATTCTGGACACAAAGGAGATCCGATTGGTGTTTATATTTTTTCATTTGTGTGTCAATGCGTGAAAGTGTTTATTAATGGGTGATTAAAGGGAAAATATCTGGTTTAGCGGTCGGTTCCTACCCTCACCTATAGTCATTAATCTGGATCATGACCCAAAGAACCAGATCCTGGATACAAGCGGCCGAAATGAGCTTCCTCTACAGGGTGGCTGGGCTCAGCCTGAGAGAGAGGGTGAGGAGCTCAGAGGAGAGCTGCTTCTCCTCATCGAAAGGAGTCTGCTGAGGAGAATCAGACATTTTTTGGATGCCCCCTGTACGCCTCCCTCAGGAGATGTTCCAGGCTCATCCCACCAGGAGGAGGACCAGGGATCACGTCATTTGGCCTCTTTCATGCCGCCACCATGTTTGACTTTACATTGAGACTTTTGTCCTTCTCGTATTTCTGAGATCATGATTGTGATTGGTCTGCTTCCTTGAACCCGCCCCTTTATATGTGCGTTTCACTACCCGATCCGTCCCGGAAGCACAATCCGTTCTGCGCATGCGCAAACAGATATACATCCATAAATAATGTAATTATGGTACTAAAACTACTTATTTCTATCCTTAACTCTCTATAGAATGTTAATATATATCTTTAAAAAAATGTTTTATGACTTCTGTGGAACAATTTTTATGCTTTTTCCATTTTCTCCGTTAAACTGCTTCTCTGATGTCATCATGGGACATGCTAAAGGTAGTTCAGCAAAATCTGATTAAACCATGTTTATTTGCATTTTAGTTGTTTCCTTCCTTAATTTACGCACTATACAGCATAAGATTAAAATGAAACGAAAACGTAAAACTCAAAAAGACCAGATTTATGTTTAAATCCAAAGCCGAAAAAGTTAGCCACCGGAGGTAGCGTAGAATCCCACTTCCAGAGACGAGTGATAAAACAGGAAGCATTTTAAGGCATTTCATTTCTCAGTAAATACATTATTAACCTTTAACACGTTATATTTTAGTACCTTCACTATCTTTGGGGACGGAAAACCTCATTTAGGTATTTTTAACGAAATAAAATCGAAAACGACTCGGATGTATATCTAGATGCGCATGCGCGAATGAGCTGAACGGATCGTGCTTCCGGGGCGGATCGGGTAGCGACAGCGGATGATCATAGACTCAGGATTAGTTTAGGCTCCATCGAGTTAGCAAGCTGATCACCATCTTGGTGGTGCGGCTGATCCTGATGGCCGTTATTATGGACTGGTTTAACTGGATAGACTGGGAGGAATCCTTCTTGGTTGAGCTCGCTTCATGGTACGGGCCTCTGGTCATTTTCTCTAGAAACTATTGTCGGTGTAAAGTTAGTTCATTGTTTTTATAGATTTAATCTCTCCTCAGATTTATTTTAATTAATAGTTTGCGGCGAATATCTCCTCTCTTCCTTTACCTGAAGGATTTTTTTCATGCTTGCAAATCATAACTAATTAGATTCAGTGAAAGTGCAGTACTGCCTCTGACCTTCAGGAGGCGCTAAATCTGGAGGGTC